GTAGCTAGGGGAGGTGGGGCTGTAGTTGGGACTGGTTGGAGAATAGGAGGGGGAGGTAGGAGAGTAGGAGGGTGAAGTGGGGGAGTACGAGGGACTCTGGGGTGTATAGCCCCCAGGAGAGCGGGGCTCATAGGCAGGAGATGTTGGAGAGTAGCTGGGCGACATGGCGCCACCTGCGGGAAAGAGGCAAACAAGCGGTAAGTGATGGAAACCTGGCCCAGAGGGTCAAGGAGACGGACCTGGTTTGATGGCAACAGCTCACCTGGTGAGGGGATGTAGGGACTCGAGGGGCCTGGCGAGCCCGGGGAGCCCGGCGTGGGCGACCAGGCAGGGGAGTAGCCTGGGCTGAAGCCACTGGCATCTGAAGCAGCACTGGGAGAGAAGCCAGCTGCCCCTGGGGTCATTCCACTCCCTGTGCAGAGAAAGACAGGTCAACCAGGCTGCAGCCCACCCTCACACTCACACCCTTCCCCAGCTCTCTATAGGCTTCGGCATCTCCAAGATGGCTACCACTCCCTACCCTAGCTCGTGACCTCTGCACCATGGACAGGGCCCTTTCCTCGGGCAGGTTACTCACCAACACTGGGAGACCAGGCGCCATAGGCTGGGGTCGCACCCTGGTTCCAGGGCGTCATGGCAGGAGATATTCCCCCCATGGGACTGGGCGCTGAGCCGAAGAACATGCCGGTAGCTGCGGAGAGGCACACGTGATTCAGGAAGAATGGCACCTGGGAACACTTTCCCATCCGTGGCCAGCCTCACCCCTGCAGACCTAGCGGAGTTCTCTGTGCAAGCGGGGCCCGTGTACTCACGTCCGGCAGCGCCCAGGCCAGGGATGTTGGTGGGGATCTCCATGCCGTACTTGCACTTCTCTGCATCCAGCAGGAGGTCAAAACAGCCGGTGCCGGCTGGAGCGAGCTGGCCCAGCATGATGTTCTCAGAGACCCCCTTCATGGGGTCACTCTCCCCGTGTGCCGCTGCTTCCATGAGCACATCGACCTGGGCAAGCAGAAGAGGACAGGCCCCATCAGATCCCTCCACAAATGGCATCCGGGGTGTCCCCAATGGGCGCAGCCCAACTGCGCAATGGAGGAAGATCAGCACCGATGCCTCTGTGCACTCCCCCTCGGACAGGGGCCTTCCTCCCACACGCTCCCTCCTCTACCCACCCAGAGCTTCTGCGCTTACCGTTTCCTCAAAGGAACATTTCATGAGTGGCCCCGTGTCCTGGCGGTTGACTCCGTGTCGGGTGATGGCCATCAAGTGGCCGCGGCAGGTCATGGTGTCGCACAGGAGAGCCAAGTGCCGGTAATTGACGTAGGAGCCGTCGAAGGAGATGACATGGTACAGCTCTCGCTCCAGCGCCTTCCGCACGGCCTCGATGCCCAGCACCTGGCACGGGGTCAGGAGGAGGGTCAAGTCTGGGCAGCTCATCCTCATCACCCTCTCCCCACCACCCCGCTCCACAGGGAGGGGCCAGAAGTCAGCGCAACCCTCGCTGACAAACCCTGAGGAAACTGCAGGGGGCGACAGATGAGGGGCCCCAGGAAAGGCTGCCACGCAGAGGGCTCACCGTGAAGATCTCCACAATGTCATTGGACGTGGTGCGCACGGGGTCCACGTCCTTCTCGCTCAGCACACGCATCAAGCTCACGCCGTCCGTCTCCAGGATCCACTCCTGCAGGGCCTTGAACTCCCCGTCCTCCGTGATGATGATCTTCTTCTTGTTGTCCGTCTGCGGCAAGTGCATGTACACCTGGGGGCAGCGAGCTCGGGTTGGCCTGGGCCAGTGGGGCGCGGGGGGGTGGGGTGGCGGGCTGACCTTGCTGATCTGCTCGATGCCCTGCAGGGTCATGTCGGTCAGCATGTTGGACTCGATGCAGCGCAGGAAAACGTCATCATCCATCTTGTCCACCACCTCTTCCTCCTGAACAGAGCCGGGTCAGCACTCCCAGTTCTCACCCTAACCAGAGCCACCTCCTCCTAAAGAGCCCTTTATCAGACCCTGGCCCCTCAGCTCCCACGAGACCACTCTGTGTAGTGATTTTACAGTAATATTAAAAGAAACCTACGGGGGCTTGCAGGTAGCATGGCAGCTAAGGTGCTGGACTCCCACATGGCCAAATACGGTTTGAGTCCTGGACCTGGCAGCTTGCTTTCTCACTTTCTCCTCCTCTGCCTCTCTGTGGTAAAATTAAAAAATAAATAACAACAACAAATAAAATTAAGTAAAATAAGAAAATAAATAAATTTTTAAAGAATTGTTTTATTTAACTTCATTTATTTCTTTATTTGACCAGAGAGGGACAAAGTGAGAAACCAAGGCACCAGGTCTGAGACTCAAACCATGGTTGGTCGCATGGGAGTCCAGCGCCCTTAACCGCCATGCTACTTGCCGGCCCTATAAACAAATAGATCTTAAAAAAAAAAAAAAAAAGAGAGAGAGAGAGAGAGAAAGAAAAAAAGAAAGAAACCTAAGGCACTCACACCCCACGGAAACATGTGCATGCACCCCTGCTCCCTGCTTGCCCAGGCTGCTGTTCTCAACAATGAGACGATGGTTTCTTTCAATGGGTGTACACCACACTCCGAGGTACGCCAGGGTTTTCCTAACTACTCTCTGAGCTCAGTGGTCGGCAAGTCCCTGAGTTATTATCAAAGCACCAGGCACCCATGTGTGCTGGACAATTTCTCAGGAGTCATGCCGAGCAGCCAAGTTGCTGGTCACTCTCACAAGCCCTGTTGTACCTGCTGAGCTTCCACTGCTTTCCCAGGACCCAGCACCTTCTACTGCCTGACCTGCCTGATGGTGCCCCGCTCTCAGGTGGAAGTTCGCACTGAAGAGGAAAACAAGTGCAGGCGCCGGGGAAGGAGGGCTGAGCCACAGGCTCTGAGGCTTCAGCACCACTGTTCCATCTATTTGGCTACTGCTCTGGATTTCAAAAATTGTTGCTGCTGAAAGTTATGAAAACCACTGCCAGCCCCCATTCTCTGTTTCTCGAGTAGGAGGGTGTGTCTGGCCTCCTTAGAACTTCCTCCTAACGTCTCTGGTCACTAACAAGAATTCGGCCTATCAGTCCCTCCCCACGCCCCATGTACCTCCTGCATCTTGTTCTCATCACTGTTCATGATGCGGATACGGAGCACCAGCTTCTCTGCGTTGTCATCGTTAAAGATGCAATTCAAGTCATCGCCGAAACCTGGTGGGGACAGAATGAGCGGTGAGAAGGCCACCTCTCACAGGACTCGCGTCCCAGGCACAGTCCATTTGGAGCTCTCCCCTCACAGGGTTCTTTGGGCTCCCCTGTCCTGCTCACAGAACCTCCATCCCCTAAGGACCCCTTTGGAAAGACGAGAGGGGAACCCTGAGAAAGTGAGGCATGCAGAGGGGACCTGGAGAGCCCAAGGGCCAGGGACCATGAAGGAGTGATGCCTTGCAGGGACAGAACTGGTACTGGCTGGTGGTGAGGGTGGGTGCAGAGGTGGGAACCCAGGCGGGACCCCCGGGCTGGGGCCACCCTCCCTGCCTTACCAGCGTTGATCTTCTCGGCAATCTGCTCCATGGTCAGCTTCCGGTCAGTCATGTGCTTCCGGTCCAGCTCTACTCTCAATAGCCAGGGGGAGATCCGGGCCACGTCGAAGTCAGGCATCTCATAGTAGACGTTCACCCACTCCTGGTCCTCAGCTACCACTGTGCTCTGGGGGTTGGGGTCATAGTAGATGGCTGTGTTGGCAGTCACTTTCCGCAACGTTGTATGTTCCAGGCGGCACAGAATGTCCTGCAAAGGGACAGGGATTCATGACACATCTGAAGCTCCAAAGGCCTTTTCAAACCGTATCAAGGGAAACCCAAAGCCTTTATCCAAGGCAGAATTGACAGCATTTTCTTCTTGCCAGAAGTCCTCATCCTGCCCCTACCTTAGCTCTCTCAGCATCTCGAGCAGACTGGCCCAACAGGAAGACAGTGAGGGACGGGGTCTTTGGCTTCTTGGAAATGTTGATGAGCTCCTTAAGTCTGGGCACACCCAGTGTCACGTTCTTGGCAGACACGCCAGCATAGTGGAAGGTGTTCAAGGTCATCTGAGTAGCAGGTTCTCCGAGGGACTGTGCGGCCAGAGCTCCCACCATCTCCCCAGGATGGGCCTAAGGAAAAGTTGGCATCAGATAAAATCAACCCCTCTCTTCTGACGAATGAGTGGGATATGGTCCAGGCCAGGACTACCCTCTAATTTTAAAGGACATGGAACAGATAGGTTTGGACAGAGAAACTTTAAATCCAGTCTTGGGGCCGGTAGATGGCATAGTGGTCATGTCGCTGGACTCCCACATGGCCGACAATGGCTTAAGTCCTGGGCTTCAAGATCACGCCAGACAGCATGGACATGTGTGCCCAGGATCTCAGGAGGAGAATGGAGAAGAGACTGCGGTGTGGCCACTCCCCCAAGGAGCAATTTCTCATTTTCCCTCTCACTGTCTCTGTTCCCCTCTCTCTCTCCGGTAAATGCATGTGCCCTATGGCAAAAACCTCTTAAAAGAAAATAACCAAACAATCTTATTTAATCATCTCCTTCCTCAAAGTTTCAATTCACAATAGACCATTAGCACTTGACTTGGTGGGCATCCAGAAAGTGCTAAAATCCAAGTTTCTGTGTCCAGGTGGCAATATGATGGTTAAGGCACCTGGACCCCATAAGGCTGGTTGTATGATCTGAGTTCTGGACATAGTAGCTCAAAAAAACATGCCAGGCACATGTGTGTTTGTGCCCAGAAACCCAAAAGGAGAAATGGATTGTAGCGTGACCACCCCCACGGGGGTGTCTTCTCACTCACTCTCTCTCTGGAAAGCACACGCACCTCCAGCAAATTTTAAAATGACAATAAATAAATCCAAATGTCTAAGTGACTGTTAGTTACGGGGGTGAACATCTACTCTCTACTAGTCCTCTACATAGAGAGCTCCGCATATGGACGGAGCTGTAAGTTACATACCACGAGGTTCAACCTTTTCATTACCACCACACCGTTACACAGCCCTCCAGGACAGTTTCTTCCAGTAATTTCCATTTAAAGCTCATCTTTTTGTGACTTGACAGCTCATTACTGTATTTTTTAGTTTTGCTATCAGGGGTACGTGTGCTTGCCAAAGACAGACAGACAGGGAGAGAAAGAATGAAAAAGCATCCCCGGGGGGATAGCCACGTCGCCATCCCTTCTCCTTCTCTCAGGATTTTGGCCATGCACACACAGCCACCTGGGATGTCATTCTTCTTTTTAAAAAAGAGGTCTTTGCTATAGGGGATGTGCACTCACCAGAAAGACAGAGAGACAGAAAGCAAGAGGATTGCCATGCAGTAATCCTCCTCCATTTACCTCTCGGGATCTTGCACACGCACGCACACACGCCCAACATGAGTTTAAGCCACCTGGTCCGGGACTCGAACGGTGGTTGACTACGTGAGAGTCCAGTGACATAATAATTATGCCATCTGCTGGTCTCATCTTGGGATGTTTTCAACTGCCAGGTCCAGGACTTAAACCAGTCAACCAGCTATGTAGGATCCAGACACTTTTTTTTTTTTTTTTTTTTTGGGTGGGGTTTTTGC